AAAGAGTTCAAAGGAATGCAGGACTGTTAGTTTAAAAATCCTCCATAACCCTTATTTAAAAGTTCCCATCTCAGTTCATCATGACTACCTTTTAGATGACTGAATTTAAGGGCGTTGTCGCCGTCTGGGGCTGTTCAGGGCCGTGTGGGGTTGGGCTGGGCCAGGAACCTTGTGTGAGTGTTTTAGTGGGGGGTTTGGAGGGTTTTAAATTGTATTTTATTGGATTTGTTTTAGTGACTCCACATCTGGCTGATGCTTTTATGGGGGTTGCCTGGGGAGCGCATGGGCTCCACCATTGGGGTGATTTTGGGCAGTGGGAGAAATGGTGTTGTGGAATTGACATGTCGGCATAGAAGGAGGAGGGACAGATAGTTGATACCTGTTCCTCCTTCTTGTTATTCCTCCAATCTGAAGGTTCTGGGTAAGCTTATCAACTGCCCCTCGGGCCTGACAGTGCTGCTGCTTAATGCCAGGTTGGTCTATAATAAAACATCCCTCATCCACGACTTAATTGTGGATGAGGGGGCCGACCTGGCTTGCATTACAGAGACCTGGGCGGGAGGGCGGGGATGTAGCCCTCTCTCAGCTGTGCCTGCCTGGGCACCAGTCACGTCCGGAGGGGAGGGGAGGGGGGGGTCGCTTTAATTTACCAAGCTTCTATTTCCCTCATGGGGCTTCCTGTTCTCTCAAGATCAGGTTTAGAGCACTTATACCTGGCACTGGGCAGATTGGGGATTCTGCTGGTGTACTGTGCACCCTTCTGCCCATCAGACTCCCTGCCTGAGCTGACGGAGATCGTCTCTGACCTGGTGTTGAAGACCCCCAGGATGTTGGTCCTGCAGGACTTCAATTTCCGTGCCGAGACTGTTCTGACCGGGGCAGCTCAGGACTTCATGGCTTCCATGACGGCCATGGGGCTGTCTCAACATGTCATAGACCCGACCCATGAACGTGGTCACACGCTGGACCTGGTTTTCTCAATGGAGCAGGAAAAGGGTGATTTGAGGGTGAGGAATTTGCGTCTGACTCCCTTGTCATGGTCAGATCACTTCCTCGTAAGGTTTGAGCTCGGAGCTGGCCTTTCTATTGTACGGGTGCGGACCCTATTGTGATGGTCCGCCCTCAGAGCCGGATGGATCCAGACGGATTCCCGAAGGCTCTGGGGGATTTTCCGGTTGATAAAGCTGGCATTCCTGTTGATGTTCTGATCAAACTGTGGAATGGGGAAATGGCTAGAGCAATTGACACAATCGCCCCTAAGCATCCTCTCCTGCCAAGCAGAGCCCATCCATCCCGATGGTATACACCTGAACTACGGGCGATGAAGCGGGTTGGGAGACGTCTAGAGCATAGGTAGAGGAAATCACGGGATGAATCTGACCGAACACGCTTACGAGCTCATTACTGAGCCTATGCTGTGGCAGTGAGGGCGGTGAAGAAGAAATTCTTCTCCACTTCCATTGCCTCCTGACAGTGCCGCCCAGCGGAGCTTTTTTGAGTGGTACATGGGCTGATATACCCCGGCCCTAAGAAAGATCTTGTATCACCATCGATGGCCCGCTGTGACGACTTTGCCCAGCACTTCAAGGAGAAAATCGCTCAGGTTCGTCACGAGCTGGACTCCACAATTGATTCAGATCCTTTAGGGGAGACACCAATGACTCCGTCTGGTCAGGTATTAATGGATGAATTTCAGTTAATGCAGCCGGATGAAGTGGAGAAGGTGCTTGGACAAGTACGTCCTACCTGCCCTTAATGGCTACTGACCAAAGCCAAACACGGGATTGGCTCCTGGATCCTGGAGGTTATTAATGCCTCTCTGAGGGACAGCCAGGTGCCCACTCCTTTAAGGAGGCAGTAATCAGGGCTGTCCTGAAGAAGGCATCCCTGGATCCAGAGATGGCCACCAATTATAGACCGGTGGCCAACATCCCGTTTTTGGGCAAGGTGTTAGAACGGGTGGTGGCAGGACAACTCGAACCACTCTTGGGTGAAACTGATTATCTGGACCCATTTCAGTCCGGCTTCAGACCCGGGTACTGTACTGAATCTGCCTTGGTCACGCTGTATGATGACCTGTGCAGGGAGAGAGACGGGGGGAGTGTGTCCCTGTTGGTTTTCCTGGACCTCTCAGCAGCTTTCGATACCATCGACCATGGTATCCTCCTGAATAGGCTGGTGGGATTGGGAGTAGGAGGCACTGCTTGGCAGTGGTTCTGCTCCTACCTTGATGGCCGATTCCAGAAGGTGGTGCTGGGGGACTTTGACTCTGTGCCATGGCAACTTTGCCATGGGGTACCGCAGGGTTCCATTTTGTCCCCCTTGCTATTTAATATCTACATGAAACCACTGGGAGAGGTCATCAGGAGGTTTGGGCTGCAGAGTCATCAGTATGCTGATGAAACCCAGCTCTACCTCTCTTTTTCAACCGATCCAGGTGAGACAGTGGCTGTACTGAACTGATACCTGGCTGAGGTAATGGGCTGGATGAGGGCCAATAAACTGAAACTCAATCCAGATAAGATGGAGGTTCTGTTGGTGAGTGATTTGAGCTCCTGGGCAGGTGACTTGGGCCTTGCCCTGGATGGGGTTGCACAACCTCTAAAGGACAGGATCTGCAGCTTGGGAGTGCTCCTCAACCCGGAGCTGTCCTTGGAAGCTCAAGCGACAGCGGTGGCGAGGAGTGCTTTCCTTCAGCTTCGGCTAATACATCAGCTGCGTCCCTACCTGGAGGAAGATTGCCTAGCAACAGTAACACACGCATTGGTTACTTCCCAGTTGGATTTCTGTAACGCGCTCTACATGGGGCCGCCCTTGAAGACAGTCCGGATACTTCAGATGGTTCAAAACAGAGCTGCCAGGATGCTGTCGGGGACTGGGCATTATTCTCATATAACCCCAGTCCTCCACCAGCTTCACTGGCTTCCCATCGAAGTCTGGGCTCAATTCAGGGTGCTAGTTATTACCTATAAAGCCCTAAATGGCTTGGGACCAGGATACCTAAAGGAATGCATTCTTCCCTATTTGCCCTCCCACTCCCTGAGATCAGCAGCAGAAGCCCTCCTCCAGGAACCCTCTGTGAAAGATGTTAGGAGACAGAGTACCCGGAGGAGGGCCTTCTATGCGGTGGCGCCCCGTCTATGGATTGTGCTCCCCGGAGAGGTCTGCCTGGCACCATCATTATATGTTTTTTGGCACCAGGTTAAGACCTTTTTATTTAATCAATATTTTAATATGTTTTAATATTGAATTTTATTACCATATTTTATTTTGCAGCCAGAGTGGGTTGTCAATTTATTTATATTATATTGTTTATGTACTTCGGAATTTTATTTGTGTAAGCCATCCTGAGGCTCTTGCAAAGGACGGCATACAAATATCTCAAATAAATAAATAAATAAATTTCCATTCATCCCAGCATTCAATTAGCATTTAGCTTCCAATTTCCGTTTCTGTTGTTTTTGGCTGCTGCATATGCTTCCTGGCTTTTTTTCTTCAGTTAAGAGAATCTAGAATGGCTGTCTTGACTGCAATATATTATTTTATTACTTGCGGTGACTACTTAGATGCAGGATATAAATACTTTAAGAACATTAACAGATATTTAAAAGCCTCTTTTCAGATCTGTTCCTTGGAATTAAGATAGATAGCCTTGGCAAAACTGCATAACACAGGTGCTACAATGCAAGGGCAAAAAGGCAGGCAAAAGGTTATTTCAAGAAAAGCTAAAAACCAGGAAAGATCCAAGTTGTTCCTTCAGCTGATAAAAAAAGAAACTACCATGAATACTTCTTTAAATGGAAAGGCAGGACGGAAATATTTTAATAAAATTAGCTATTTTCTGTGTCACCTTAATCCTCCAGGGAAGGAGGAAAAAATAGAGCTTTCTCTGTCATTTTTCTCCCTCATAATAATGAGATTCAGGATTTTTTAATTCTACCAGTGATGTTCAGAAGCTCCAGAAACACTTGTGACTCAAGCATATTTACATGTAACTACATGTTATTTTAGCTGCAGTATGATGCTATAACATTTGGGCAGTAAAACAATTCCTGAGCACTGAATTGCTGCCTTGATGTAACCAGGAGGCAAACGGAAGCCAGAATGTACTGCAGTCTCTGTAGCAACTGAATCATGATTGTGCATTTGCCTTCCCTTCTCTTTACACTAAACAGAAGCAGGGAGGCTCATAAAATGGCATAATGGACTTTGAACAGAACATCTTTAATCTTGGATGGAATGGTCTGCATGCAATATGAATTCATTCTGCTCTAGATATCATCCTTCTTTCCCTTTCTGTCTTTCTCTGTCTGTCTGTCTGTCTTTCTAATCTCTTGGATAAAGTGAGTCATGACTGACAATGCCATGACCACTGAAATCTCACATTTTGACCTTTTGGTATCACATTTTCCCTAAAAATCGCATTATTGAGAAAGTAACCAATTCTCTATCACCATTTCCTTTTGAAGTCATAGGTATGGGTCAAGCTTTATTTTTGTCTCTTGTAACCTCTCTTCCTTGTGAGACATACTTGTCAGTTCAGCTCTGCTGCAGATACAGGACAGCCAGAACTATTTCCGGCACATGAAATGGTGCCCGACAAGGGGATAGGAGAATGCAGCGCGAGTTTGATCATCTCTAGAAAGGAAGGGTTGACCCCAAGCTCCACTGTCGTGACAGCTCAAAGTACGAGAATACTATGAGAAGCAGAGGAATTATGTAACTACACCAACAGTGGCTTCCACAATGTCCCTGACAACGCCATCCTCACAATGCTGCTTGCTAACAATGGCCCATTATTCTAGAAATAACTTTTTTAAAAACTGAAGTTAAGATGCTCATGCTTCGATACATCAGTCTTTAGGAAAATTCATGCTTGCTCATGATAAAAGCATGAGAATTATAAACATCAACTGGTATAACTTTATGGAAATTATTAATAAGCATTATTGGCTACTACCCAAAGTATGATCATTGTGATAAGAGATTCAGGTACTTACCATTATCTGTGAGAACATAAGATCCGGTAACTGTTTTTCCATGGTCTTTTGATTTTGCAGACTTTTTAGACTCTTGATTCTGACTGTGTTTTTCCTTTCTCTTTGGTGGCTGAGGAGATGACACTGTGTCCCCCGTGTCAGTAGATTTGGACTGATGCCATTATAATACCAAAAAAGAAGGGGAAGAAGAAGAAAAACCAGTTCATGTCATTTGCAAAAACCTGAAAAAGTGCTTCTATCTTCTCCCAAACAAATATATTTTATTATCAAATATTTCTGAAATGCGTTACTCAATATATATTATTTCTTTATTTGTTTCATTTTTCTACTCCCCAATAGCCAAGGACTCTCTGGATAGTTAACAAAAGTGAGAAGCTGAAACATATAACAAAAAGGACAGGGGCTGCATAGGAACGGTGAAACAATAAACAAGAAAACTTCAGCAATTGCGATCCAGTCAGCACAAAGCTACAGCACTGGTTCAGAATAAAATGCAATGCTAAAACCAAGATTAAAAATTAACAATTAAAGCTCTGGGAAAATAAAAAGGAGTTTACCTTGTGCTGAAAAGAATAGAGAGGAGGACGAGCTCTCTGAGGAGTGCATTCTATGGTCAGGATGCCACAATCAAATAGTTCCTCTCTTGGTAACCACCCTCTTTTCTTCCTTTTGAGGGGGCTCCTGGAGAAGGACCCCAGAAGATGCCCTTAGGGCCCAGGTGGGTACGTCAGATAACACACTCAAGGCAGGAGTAGGATGACTATCCCACTGTAGTACCAACATTGTTTCATTTTTGGCACCTGCTGAACGCATTTTTATTTAAACAAACTTTCCCAAAGGTTTTATCAGCACAAACAATGTTAGAAGTTTTGTCTCTCTTGTGTTTGTATTCTCCTGCCAAGTCTAAAGAACTTTTATGTAGAATCAAAAAGGAAATTATCAACCCATCTGATAGAAATAAACATGGTGCTTGACCATGAAATATATACTATATCTCATACTTACACTCCCCTTAGATTTCCCAGATCCACCAATAGGAGGAAGTGAGGATGATTTTGATCTGTAGGAACAAATAATGATATTTTAGGTTCTAATTAACTCAGAACATTTTGAGCATTGTGAACTGTTATAAAGAAACTGGCCAAGTGTTGCCAACAAACCTCCTATCTTTGCAAGGTACTTGGAAACAAGAGATTATGCAGTGTAATTGCCATGGTCCACACGTTGTCATATTCTGTCCTAAGGTGGCAAAGCTAATACAATCTCAAGAAACATAACTGCTGCATTAGCTAAACCATGCATTGGTGAGATGATAACAAGTCTAGTATTACAAGTTCCTTCATAATATACTCTGTGAAATAAATGAAGAATCTGAAATGCTATAAACTATTTCTGCTATCCACAACCCAAGGTACTGAAGAACCATTTCTGTTCTTAGCAGGGAATAACACGCAGGTGACCACTGTAGAGCAGTGTTAGTAAAATGGGGTGGGGTATTTGTTTTGGTGCTCTAAGGAAGATAGTAGTAAAAAATAATGGAGTTTTAAAATGAACCAAAATCCATTAGTTCGAGAACCAGTAATGACTAGAAGACTTGTCTGTACAAGTTATTGAAAGGAAAACCCTAGACTTAGTGGGGAACCTTAGAAGCAGGCATTGGGCTCAATCCTATGCAAGTCTGGACAGAAAAGGGGCCTACAAGTCCCAGAATGCCCTCCGCATGCCATTCAGAGGCATCCTGGGAGTTATAGGCCTTTTCCTATCTAAACTTGCCAGGAATGCTCTCTTAATGCAGCTTTAGTGCCCCTTCCGTTCATCAGACAAACTGCTAACTTCTTTATCACCTAACGTGGGTCCAATTGATACAATAAATATTTTTCGTCCACACCTGTAATGCCATCCATTGCTAGGTGTGTGTCCACACAGGGAAGCTTAATATGAGATTTAGGCAAGGATGGATACAAGTATTATCAGGAACTAGAACTTCGCTCTATAGTCTTGTCTTTCACATACGTTGAGTATGGAAAAGTCGCTAGCATTTCAGGTATGACAATAAAGATATAGCAACTCTGTGCTTTGCTGTAGCAGTTGTTTGAGTTGATGACCATGAGTTATAAGTTTTTGTGCATAAATATTCCTAGAGCAAATAAATGCATAGACTTACCCATAAGATCTCTTCATTGTGGACTTGCTGAAGAGCAGTTCACTATAGGGCAACTTCTTAAATTTATCTCTGCCAGCTGCCACATAAAACTGCCCGTTTTCCAAATCCAGCCCACTTTCAACAGGTTTTCCATCCAAAGTGTAGAGCCTGCAATATATATGATGATTACATTGCATGTATACCCTGCTTTTCTTTCTTCTGCAAGGAACATAAGGTGACTTGCATGCTTCTCCTCTTCTCCATTTCATTCTCACAGGAACAACCCTGTGAGGTAGATTGGACTGAGAATCTGCAACTGGCCCAAATCACCCAATGGGTTTCATATCAGTTAGTGGGGACTAGAACCAGGCTCTCCCAGGTCTCCAGCCCAGCACTCCCACCACTGTGCCATTTGAGCTTTTGAACAAATGCGGTTTGTAACAACTGAAATGCAACAGCTCATCCCTCCAGAGAATGAACTAATCATTGCATCAAATCAGATCCATTTATCAACGGATGGGATGTTGTGAGTCTTATTCCATGAGAAAAGCTATTTAACGTTGGGTCTACTTTTTCCCAGCACAGAAACAATTGTCAGTTAAATTGGAAACCATTTTTAGTAGAAACAGTAGCAGGGGTCCCACCAGTTGTGAGCGGGTTTCATTGATTCAACAAGGCCTGTACAAGTGAATTTGTCCCAGAGTTGATACAGAAAACTAGCTTCCTGATTTAAAAATGTACAGGCCAACTGTTTCAGTGACTACATATTGTTTCTTATCTTTGTTTCTCGGCATGTCAAGTCTCTTTCTCCTTTTGTTAGGAAGTCTGATAACACTGCCCATTTTCTGTAAGAGTTATTCAAACTGATGTCATCACTGAGCTTAATGGATGTGCATAACATGGCAATCCACCGTGAATGTTAAGGACTAAAAGTCTCGTTCTTTCTGAAGTGTCTTCTGCAGTATTACCAGAAGAACCGGTGGGGGGGCAGTAACCCTGTTGGGCATATCACAGGGCACTGGGAAATTCTCCCACACCGCATGGCTTGTGTCACACCATGGCCTGTTGTGTCTCTAAGCCATGCCGACACTGCCTGAACCCTATATGAAATTTAAAAAACTAAGAATTGCAAATATTATGCAATACATCAACCTGTGTGTATTGCTAATCTATCACTTACTCTTCCCTAAAACTCTGGAAAATTCATTTCTTCTAGAAATCCTGACTTTTTTGTATGTGTATTCTTTCACGTGCAAATACCAGCCTTCGCTTTGGCATTTTCCTGTCACTTTAGAACAGTCAAAAAGGGACTCTCATGCCAAGTGGATTGTTTATACTTCACAAAAATATCCTGAAAGATATTGCTCCACACCTGCACCACTAAACAAGAGCCACTAGATGGGATGTAAGTCCAGATTATTTATACTGCTGTTCAAAAAATTATTAAGGGAAATTGCTTTATTTTAAGGATTCAGCAATCTGCTGATCAAATCCTCAGTTAACTCTACAGCTTTGAGTCCCACTAAAAAGTCATGCCACCCTTTCAGGATAAGAGCACAGACTACAAGAATTCTTTCATATATTTCCATACTGTTCCTTGGCTTTCTCATCCACTTAAATTCTTTAAAATGTTTTTCAGATTGTAAACTCTTGTTTTGCTTGTTTAAGATATCAACACAGATACTCAACACATTCATTTAGTACTTTCCAGATTTAGACAGATTATATCCTAAGAGGTTTTTTTAAGGACACACAAAAGTACTTGAGTTTACCATAATTACAATTGACCAACCAGACTATCGTGCATTTAGTCTGCATTTACTCTGCAATGTCCCATTGATTTCAATAGGGTTTACTTCTCAGTAGACATACATAAGATTGCAGTTAACTGAATTATTGTCTGACATGCAGAACACAGAACTCACTATAGCAGGGCTCTCCAACATTTTGGGGCCCATTAATATGTTTGAAAATGCGAGGAACTGCTGTGGACTGCATTGCAAAATGGCTCCCACAGAGGAAATGGATGGTCACACAATGGCTGTTGTGAGGGCCTGGCTAGTCACAAGGTGAGCAACCACTCAAGGAACTGAGGACCTGAACTCCAAAGCCAATCCATAATTTGACCCCACAGAAGCACAACAAAATAGCAATTTAATGTTCCATGGAAGCCAATGGAAATTACTTCTAATTAGACCTACCTAGAATTGCTCTACTCATCATATCTGAGAACAGGGAGTGAGTAAATTTGGGTACTGTGGTTTGTGTTGATCAGTCAAAGATCTGCTATCCCATGGTGGAGTGAAAGCAATAATTACGAAGATGATGTGAACTGATTATCTGTTTCCAAGCACCACAAATGCGAGCTATGCTTTTTCCTTCATTACACACACAATCTGTGCTGTTACTGATGTGTGTACTTGAAGAAAAAGACCACACTGGATTGTTCAGATCAGACTTGGCTGTACCGTACCTTAACACTACTCTCATTTATTCAATGAAGAGTTTTATCTTTATTAGTATCAACAGCCTTTACTGGAACCTTGACTAATGATAGTCTGGTTAGCATAAATCACAATGACTATTTTGTTAAAACAAGGATAAATTTCACCAACTTCTTTCATGTGTTCTCTTAACATTTTTAGAAAGGAAATATGAAAACTGGATTTACAGGAAACAAATAATATTTTGAAACATGCTGTTCAAATGTTTCCCATTCTTCTAACACTAACCATTGATGCATTACATAATATTTGCAATCTTTTATTCACATTAAAATCTTCTGTTAGACCAAATGTTTTGGCATATAGCTGTCATCAACCTATGGCCAGTGAGAGATAATGAGAGCTATTGCACAAAATAAATCACTAGGCCTTAGTTTGCCTCCAAAGTAGGACTGAATACTCTTGTCATGTTATGGTTTCTAAGGGCACACAACCCAAGAAGTGATTGTGAAGCCTGTTGTGTGTCTGTTATATCATGCAGAGCCCTTTCCAGACTTTCTGCATGGTAGGATTAGTTTTCTGTGACCACAAAGAAAATCAAGCATCTATACGACAGTCTCACTCTTTACTATGGCTTCTCCAAACATCTAAATCCAGAAATGACATGTTACCATTGTTGGTATGGACATATCATAGTCTCCCCTGGCAGGAGAAGCCACAGAAGTGGTCCCTTCTAGCCTTTGATATCTACTACTCACTAGCAACAGATACATCATTGCTTGCTTTATTCCCACTGACTGAGCAATGTGTCCGTCTCCATGTTTACTTTTGCAAACAACGTGAACATACATGGAGGAAAAGGGGAACACCATGGTGAAGCTGTTTATTTTCGTTTAAACATCTGTAGCACTGGGAGATCAGATTGCAGAATGCCTGTGCCAAATGTACTTTTGCCCCCAGAAATGTATAAACGTAAGTTGTTGTTGTTGTTAGTCGCGAAGTCGTGTCCAACCCATTGTAACCCCATGGACAACATTCCTCCAGGCCTTCCTGTCCTCCACCATCCCCCGGAGTTCACTCAAGCTCACACCAACTGCTTCAGTGACTCCATCTAGCCACCTCATTCTCTGTCGTCCCCTTCTTCTTTTGCCATCTATTGTTCCCAGCATTAGGCTCTTCTCCAAGGAGTCCTTCCTTCTCATTAGGAGGCCAAAGTATTTGAGTTTCATCTTCAGGATCTGGCCTTC